GGAGAAGTTGTGGGATAAAGTCCTCGGACGATACCACAGAGCTGTGCAGAGCCTTGTGGTGGGCATTCTGCAGGAGTCTCAGTATGCAGTGGAGAAACTAGTTCATGCTATTTCCCACATGAGGACCCCAGAGAGTGCCAAAACTGCAGCACTAGCTGTCCAAAAAGGTTATAGTCAGCAATGCTGTAATATGAAATTGTGAATTATGTTTAGTATCTTTTGCAGTGGTTTTGATGGTGGAATGCCTCACTGTACTGTTTAAAGACGTGAAGGATATTCTTCTACTTGGACAGCTGCTAAGGATGCCAGAAGAAACTCTGGCTGCTATTGACAGCTACTATGAAGAAGATTGTCATAAGATGAGCCACATGTTGTCACTGTGGCTGATGGAGGATCATGAGGATCCAGTACTCCTCTCAGAGATGCCCTCAATTCTCTGGGGAAAGAAGAAGTCTCTCAGACTCTTGTGCTGTTGACATCCCTTGGTGAGTGGACCAGATGTGTTGATCACTGTTCAAAGTTGACTTTCTCTTCCAGACACCCATGCAGAGGATGTCACAAACACACTGTCCGCCAGTGTTGATATAAAAGCAGATGACTTTCCTTGGAAAGGTATTTTATACCACTAAATATTGATTATGTTGGGGTTATATCCTTTATTCATTAGGTCATCTCATGACTCTGTCCAATCTGATGCGAGTATTCAAGAAGGTCATATGCCTAGACAGGGTATCTAATGCCTTTGGCATGTCTCCTGAAGCAATGGGGGGTGATGAGGTAGAAAGACTTGGAAAGGTTTCCAACTTCTTCCTGGAGAAAAAGCTGACGTGGAAGCACCTGAGAAAGTTGCTGATCAGACATAATGAAATGCAAGCAGTAAAGTTTGTCGACCTGATGGAACAGTATGTTCGTGAAGGTAACACAAGTTCTCTTTGATGTTTGAGGATTACAGTTGATGTCCTTACAGATGCTCCTCTGACTGCAGTCTTGGCTCATGAAGTATTGAAGAAAGTTGAAAATTTTAGCCAATTTTGCAAGCACCTATGCATTGCCAGAAGGGAAACTGTTATAAAAACAATACAGTTCTATGTAGAAGAGCCATACTTTGAACCGTCTTGGAAAAAGATAGCTCTGGGTCTATATCACTCATATGAAGACAGATCCATTGACTCCCTATTTCACTACATGAAGTCTCCTCCTGGTTAGTTACTGATTTGGAGTGGAGAGCGTGACTCTTAGTTGTTGTATGTCTGCAGAAGTGACTCTGACAGTGGCTAATGTGAAGAACTGTTTGGAGGACTCAGTTCCCAGACACATGTTCCCTACTCTGGAGAGGGAGCTGGGAGTCCCACATCGACACACAAGAGAAGACAGCCACCCTCTCACGGGAATGAAACTCTGGCTGCTCTCTAACCCAACTGCCTCCTGGCAGAAATTTGCCATAGCTCTTTACTCCTCCACTCTAGATGGAGCACTGCGGAGATTGAAGGAACTGAAACTACTCTCTGCTCAAGGTAACTATTTATTGTTCCCTTCGCTGGTCTTTTGTTTCTGATTTAAGTGCAGTACACATCCTCTTCTGCAAGATTTTTCGGCTTGTTTTTGTAGGTGCGGCGTTAGAAATTGAGCCAATGCACTTCCCTGTATTATTATATACAATGATACACAGTTTTTTGTTTACATAGTTTCTCAAAAGCCTTAAAATAGAATTCTAGCCCATGCACTGCCCTATGTAGATTACTACGTAATCTGCTATCTGCTCTGAGTTACCCTTAACCATGTGTAGTACTGTACTGAGTCTGGCAATTTCAAAGTGTGTAATAGCTGCGGTGAATACTTTCATTGCGCCTTTCTGCCACTGGTGAAAGTTGTAAGGCTTCTGTTTTTACATAGGCTTTAGTATTAGTATTATGTACTAAAATTCAAATGTAAATTCAGTTTTAGTGCTTTAAATGCATGGAATTAAATTAGTTTCCAGCGTTGATTATCCGTTTATGCACACTGCAGCTACTTTCGCATTAGTACAATGTTGCTATAACCATGACCATGTCAAACTTGATACCTGCAATTATTAACACTCGGCGGTTTGTCTGTTTGTCTGTGTTGCTCTCTTTCAGTCTCTCTGTTACTGCTATCCTGGCACTACAAACCAGGAGGCGAGAAAAAAGTGAAACGTATGGCTTCAGAACTACAGCATCTGCGTAGCCTTAAATTAGCTGCACATTTTTACATACGAATAGTGCATAAAATTACAGCTACATAATTATAGTGTGTTTCTTTATCTTGCATTGGGTGCTTGCACTTCAGTCTTTCTTATTTGATAGGTGCGTAATGATGTGTGCAATTGTTAAGTCATACTTTGCACTACAGTACTCACTGCAATAGCATTGCCTATAGGCTTTGCACATTTGGCCTTTAGGACCTAGTTCACCCTCGGCGCGCATGCGCAGTGAGGGTTATAGTACTTGCATGGTCTGTGTGTGTCTGTCTGTCTGTCAGCAGCTATTCTCGCACAAGGCTGCCCATGAGCGATACAAACGTCTTCTGAACTACGCGAACCTGAAAACGAAAAGGGTGATTTTCCTGAAATGACTGCATTCGAGAGATATGCTGTGAAAACAACGAAAAAGCCAATATGCATAATCCCACCAGCTTACCTCAACTCTTCCGCTTGCTCTTTATACCCACAAGAAGTCATCACGAAGGCCGTGGATCGACTCCCGCATCGGCATGCTATCTTATATTGTAGCTAGCCCATGTCAGACTCTCCGTGACCAACTAGTGTGGAGACCACGAGTAAACGCATACTCAGCCCAGCCAATCGATTCGCAGTGCCACGCATGCGTAATGTGGCGAGGGTTTGCACTTGAGTTTTATTTTCGCCGGGACAATGATTGCGAGAGCGTTAATCAGGTGCACTACAGTAGTTGGGTAGGAGCCTGCATGATAAACTTGTACTACGTACATGATTGATTCTCTTCAGCCTACTTAGAATGGTGTGATATAGTACCTTGCAGCTAAGTGTCGGCATCATTGTTATATAGTCATTTTAAGGACCTTGTTTATTTTCCAAAAAATAAATATTCTCTCTCCTGCAGATTCAAGTTTTACAATGGCCAATGTCCTGTCAATGACAGAAGGTGTACAGGATCATGAGGGTCTCGGAGTGCTGCTGGGAATTCGTGACCCACAAACCAAGTTTCACAAAATTAGACAGTTACATAAGAGCATAAAAGAGCAAAAAGAAGCCATACTTCACCTGTGGTACACAACACATCCTCTTGCATCGTGGAGTCTACTGCATCAGGCCCTCAATATGATAGGAGACATCAAAGCAGCCAAGACTGTACAAGAGAAGTTCCTAGGAGGTATGTTATTAACTCTCGGCCTGCATGTGCAGTGAGGGTTACGTCATCGTTGTTCTGTGTGTCAGGATGTTTGTTAGTCCTTTCTAGCGATACGAACAGACTTGAGACTTCATTTGAAACTGGAGATTTTCGTTAAGGTACTTATGGCATGAAAATGTAGGTGGACAAGCCAATGGCTTATATCAGCTGCATTCTGCCAGCATTCTTTACTGAGCATTAACAGCGGAGGACGAGATCGAGTCCAGCAATGCCTAATACACTATCACCTCAACAATCTAGAGCATGAATCAACAGCTTGACCCAATCAATCAATTATGGACTTACGCATGCATATTGGTGTTTCAGTGCATATTATAGTAGTTTTCACTTGCGCTTGTTTTTAGTGCGCAGAGGGCTTGGGCTTTAGTTCTAAGTAACTCGGTATATTGTACTCTTGCATAGTACTATATAGTCGGTGAATGAATGGCATTTTTGGCGAGCGGGAGCGAGCACAAAATGACTATTTCAGCCATCCTATTTACAACTTGCACCTGGGAACCAGAAGAGGTATATAAAGCCTTGGTCAGGCACTGAAGAGTGCAGCGAATACAGGATAATGGACGAGGATCTAGGCAGCGTGTAAATAATATTGAAACTCATTTCTGACAAAAATGAAAGGCACTAAAGTGTAAACCCTCGGCTAACTGTGCATGCGCGATACCACTAATTAATGGGTTGGGCTTTTTATGCCTTTACTCGTGGTGTCCTGCTAATGGCTCGGTGGAGAGTCTGGCACGGTCTAGCTACAGTAGTAGATAGCGTGCGGGAGTCGATACATGTCCTTCGTTGTGACTTTTTGTGCCTTCAAGATACACGCGGTCGAGGTAAACCTGTGCTAATTTGCATTCGCCAGTGTTTTATGCTGTGAAAAGAAGCCAATATGCATATTACCACTGGCTTACCTTGACTAGATTCCCCCAGCGTTAGGCACTGTGGAGGCATCAAAAGTTACGATGGAAGATGAGTATTAATAGTACCGCAATGCCTAAAACTCTATCACCTATCAGACTCTCAACGAGCTAGGAAGAAACCATGCATGAATCAACACATGCCCCAGTCAATCAATTAGTGACCCATGCATGCATATTGGTGTTTCAATGCGTATTATAGTAGTTTTCAGATGCACATGATTTTAGTGTGCAGAGGGCTTGCCCTTTAGTTCTAAGTAACTGTGTATTTTGTGATCTTGCATAATATAAAAATTTTGGTAAGGAACCATTTCCCTTAAAGCCACTAACTCATTAACCCTGCACAACATTTTTGTTTGTCTGAGCTACTTCAGTGCTGTATTTTGTGATGGCTGGGAGAAATGTACAGGTGTGGTTTTTATAAAATAAGAATGGCATTTAAATTCACCAAAAGTTGATTCCATTTGAACAGGCTTATTTAAATGCATCCGCTCATTTTTATTGACAACACTACACACAGCCCTACTATCCAATGGTATTACCCCTATGACGTTCAACGGTGCAAAAACGACTATTTTTCACACTTTTTACTTTGTAAATGACCAGTCCACCGCAGTTCCCTGGCGACTTTCTCCATCACCTACCAAGACATCAGAACCTCGGAGAAAATAAGAGAGCAATGGCATTTATAGGTCTTGGTGTGTGTCCGTGTTTCATACCACGGGACACAAAGCATAAAAGGAATCTGAGTTTATCCATGCACTCACGGCAAATACATCGTTGTTTCCATAATTTGAAAGTGTTTGTTGAGGTAGTAGTTGCTACTCTGGATAAAGCTTCTGCTGACAGTCCTTAACAACCACAGTAAATTCCAGGCTCCCAAGGCTATCTAAATACGAAAAGTGTATAACTTACTTAAAGTCAAGACAAAGCATGCGTTTAAAATCAGTCTACAAAGGTATGCAATCTAACCTTGATGGGTTTCAAGGATGTTATTTTCCGAGTGAATACAGTCACAAAAACACTGACTTATGTGCTATGAGGTTATTCTTCTAGAATTTCTAGAGACACAAAGATACAGGTGTAATGTTTGTGGTATACAAAGGCACAATGCTGATTGCATAACAATGAGTAAGAGTGTTCCAAGTTAAGTAACAGTCTGAGAGTGCACATTTTCACCAACACTCCTCACTTTCTCCAACCCAATTCACTAACCCCAGCCAGTCTTCTGAGTTTATCAAATTGTGTGATAGAGAGCTCTTTAGTGAGCATGTCAGCAATCATGTCTTCCGAAGCACAGTATGCCAGTTTGATCTTTCCAGCCTCCACAGCATCACAGTTAAAGTGATATTAATGTCTATATGTTTGGTGCGTCAACATATAGCAACGTAAGTGAGCCATTGTGCATGAGCCAAATTTAGAGTCCGGAAAGTTTATTTAGAGTCCAGATAATTTGCTCTAGGTGATTTAGAGGTCCGCGCATCGACCAATCAGATTGCGCGATTTAAATTACCCAGCTCTAACAGCTTACTCCCAGAAGGAACACGTACCCAGAGGTTGATTTTCTGTCTCCAACATCGCCATCCCAGTCTGCATCCGAGTATCCAGTGATTGCAACTGGAGTATCTTCTCTATAGATGAGCCCAAATTTGTTTGTGAGGTATCGTAAACTTCTTTTCACTCCAGTCCAGTGCTCTTTGCTGGGTTTGGCACAGTAGCTACTGAGCAACACAGCTCACTGCGTGGGCGATGTCTGGTCTTGTTTTTGTAGACAGATACAGCAGACTGCTATAGAGCTGCTGGTTACACACGTCATCCGGCTTCTCGCAAGCAACAAACTTGACGTCAGGATTGACAGGTATGCTGACAGGTTTGGAGTCTTGCCTACCATATCTTTGTAGGATCTCTGTGTACACTGGTCACTCCACCTTCTCGCTTTTCAATGACTTTTTACTCCTAGGAAATAGTGGAGTGGTCCTAGAACTTTCATTTCGGACTTATGACTCAGCTCCTTCTTCACTGCACTCATTTTGACGTCGCCCGAGGATTATGTCGTCTACATAGACAGCGATGAAGAACATTTCTCCTTCTGAATCGAGATGAACGTGGAGGCAAGGGTCTCCGGATGTCTGCTTGAATCCCATTTCCTTCAAGTCTGTTGTCCAATGCATGATTCCTACAGCGTGGTGATTGTTTCAGACCGTATATGCAATGTTTTAGTCGACATACCAGATGTTCCTTCCCTTGCTCAAGTAACGCTTCGGGTTGCTTCATGTACATTTCTTCGGCGAGTTCTCCATGGAGGGAGGCAGTGGATATGTCCATCTGGTATAGCTGAAGCTTGTGTTGAGCCCCCAAGGCTATAGCAGATCTGATGGATTCGAAGCGAACAACAGGATTGAAAGTCTCTTCGTAATCGAGACGGAACCTCTGAGTGCAGCCTTGAGCAACCAGTCGGGCCTTGTATCTCTCCACTTCTCCATCTGCATCGAGTTTTCTCTTGAAGAGCCATTTGCTGCCAATGATCCTTCGATTTGGTGGAAGCTCCCAGACTTCATTGAATTGAAGAGATGCCATTTCTTTTTCCGCGGCCTTTCTCCACTTGTGTTTGTCAGGACTTGAATTGACTTCGTCTACTGAGGTGGGGTCTGGCGTACAGTAGAAAGCAGTGTAAGGTTGTGGCTGTGCCAGTCAGGTATTCGTCGGTTTCTTGTTGACCTCCGTAGATTTGGTGTCTGATTTGACGGCACATTGGCTGAGGCTGACTCTTCACCTGACAGTTCATCCACAGGTATCTCTTCAGGCACACTGCTTGTAGTATTTGGAGTCACCGATTCCTCGGCAACAGGCTTCTCTTCGACCTCGAGCTCCACTTATTTGGGAGGGAGTTCCTTCTCATTCTGAACCCCGGGCATAGAGGTTTCATCGAACACAACATTTCTGCTGTAGATCACTTTCATCCATCTAAGATCATATAGGCAATAGTAGTAATATACCCCAACGCTACGCACTTCCTTGTCTTGGCAAGTTTGTGTCTTTTAGCTTTAGGCACATGAGCGTTTGCACTGCATCTGAATATGCGAAGCGAACATACATCTGGCTTGGTACCACTCCATGCTTCGTGAGGCGTGACTCCTTCTAGTGCCTTGGTGGGACTCTGGTTCCGGAGACACACAATTGTTGACAAGGCCTCTGCCAAGAATCTGTGAGGGAGCTTGGAGTCAGCTAGTGTGCTGCGTACACCTTCGATCAGTGTACGGTTTAGTCGCTCGGCGATCCCATTTTGTTCTGGAGTATGGGGTGTTGTCACCTCATGTTGCTTTGGTCACGTACGACTCGAATTCGTTCGAGGTATACTCACCTCCATTGTCAGAGCGAAGAGCCTTGATTTGTCTTCCACTCAACTTCTCGACCTGGGCTTTCCGCTCTTGGAATCGCCGAAATACCTCGTATTTGTGCTTGAGGATATAGAACCACACGTGTCCGTGTGATCATCAATGAACGTGACGAAGTATTCTCCTCCACCGAGTGATTGGGTTCCAATCTTCCCACTTACATCACTATGTATCAGCTCGAGTGGATGATCTGCTCTTTTCCCACTGGAATGTTGGAATGGCAACCTGTGACTTTTCCCCTCCACACAGGACTCACAGAAGCCAGTATCCTGTTTCCATCCGAGATCTATTCCACTGACCATTTTGTTTCTTGTCAGGGCTTGCATTCCTCGAGTTCCCAAGTGACCAAACTGTCGATGCCAAATCATTTCCTTGGAGCTGTTGTGATTGGAGCTTGGACAGGCTTGGTGAGCGGGACCTCCTTGGTCAAGGTAGTACAGACTTCCTTCTCTGTATCCATGGGCTATGAGCTTGGAATTGGAGTCTCTGATTTCACATCTCGTCTCAGTGTAGGTGGTTACCTTTCCTTTCTTAGCAGCTGAGGTAATGCTGAGTAGGTTGTACGCTAGATCTGTTACCATGAGAACGTTGTAAAGTGTGTATGTCTCCTTCCCCTTCCGGTAATTTCATTGTTAGCGTCACATGACCGCTTCCTACCGCCTGAAATTTCAACCGTCACCAATCATTGGAGTGGGTAGAGTTTGTACAGCGGTGAACATTGAGTCCTTGTTAACCCTCGCATGCGCAGCGAGGGTTATTGTAGTTGGTCTGTGTGTGTGTCCATCCATCCGTCTGTCCACCGTTTATCTCGGTAACCACGGCAACTCTGAGCGTGAAACGTGGATATATTATAAAGTAGGAGGCATGCATGGTAAACTAAGATTCTGGAGCGAAGAAGGCCAGGGAAGCTGGTGTAATGGACGGCTGCCGAGGTGAGTGTGCATCAAATAGAGACCGCGGATGATTGCTGTACTTGATGCTTAGATGCTTTGTGTGTGTGGAGACCAATTGCAGATAGCTCATCGCAAACTTCGGTCATGGACTTGATATGATCTTGCATCGAACCCCCTTCGCCCAACCTCATAAAAAAGAGTTTCCGTTAGCACTCAAGTTTATTAGCCTGGTCAGCTGGGGCTTTCCACACTTTAACTGGATCCGTTGGGTCAGCGCCAATTACATAGAGCAGACTTGGTTCAATGTCCAGCATGACGGTTGCAATAGCTTTGTCTCTCCTTGCTGCAAATCTTGCCTGTTGGTTAGCGTTCTTGGAAGGAGCTCTTTCTGTTCCATTGACAATGCCCCAGAGTCCCTCTTTGATCAATGCCAGATGGCATTGTATTTTCCACGTGGAGTAATTCGTGCTGTTCAGCGGCACCACTGCCACAATCTTAGACCCGGCCATTCTTGAAATCTCCAGCGGGAATATATGAGCGTAACTGACTGTTAGGTCCTTAGTCTGCGCCAATAACCAGATGACTTTCAATAATATTATTTGCCGAGCGAATACAGTCTCAATGAAAAGCACTAAAGTGCAAACACTCGGCGGAGACGCTCGTGCTCGCTAGGGAAGGGTTACATGTCAAAGCAAAGTTGAGGAAGACTGCCTATATACTGTGAAAGGCTGCAGAGCATGCTACCAAGTGAGGCACATCTTTCGCTGTGCATCTGCCATGTTTTAGCTCAACAATAGGCTTGGTACGGGATTAGAATATCTTGCACATGTGTCAACAGATTATGCCATGCACGAAACGCGCATGCGG